TATATATATATATATATCCCTTGTATTGCCCTGCAATTCTCCTCCATGTTAGGGCCTAGATAGATTTCCACTAACTTCCTGATGTGTTTATGGAACAGCAAGTGGATGAAAATCTCCAGGACTCAGGACAGGACAAAAAAAGTAGGGCTGCATTTAAAAGGAAAAAGAAAAAAGATTTGGCTTTATTTATACGTTAAGGTAAATCCACTGAACGATCACAGTTGTAATGTTTCCGGGGTAGGATTAGCACTCGCTGATCTCACTCGTGCCTGACCTTCTGTTTGAAAAAAATACACAATCTAATAACTATTAGCCCTTTATTCCCTGGGAGACATTCTATGTTTTGAAAAGCTTGTTTGTGTATTCTGTGTCTAAATAACCTCTCAGACCCATTTATAACTAAGCTATCAGTCTCAAAATAATTTCTCACTTTTAAATGCTGGTGAAATATGAACTGTTAAAAAATAGCGTTAGTGTGCTAAGCAATACACAGCCAACGTTCAAGTAACAGACTCTGCTTCTGTGCAAGAGAAGTGTTACATGTCAACGTTTCACTGCCTAGAATGAAGTCACTGAGAGCCATTGATAAGCTGTGTTGACTGTTGAAACTGATTTTGGAATTGAAACGTGGTCCATTGGGGGAATGGCTTGATATGCGTTTGGTTTGGCAGTAAACGTGGACACGTGGGAGATTAAAATATGCTTTTACTTAATAGAGGTATGATTGTGATTTACTGAAAACACAACAACTTTTTGTAGCCTGTTCCAGTGTTATAACTTACGTTGCTTTCTTATTCAGAGTTGTATAAAACTCAGCATTCTTTCACGTTTCATTTTTGATGAGTAAGCCAATTTCTTGGGATTCGCATGCATGAGAATCATTTTTAAATGTTTGGCATCTACACGTTTTGGAAAAATGGCTGCTGTCATCTTTATTGCTGACAGGCCACTTATTACTTTGCATAAACTTTTGTTTCCAAGTCGAGAATGGTGCACTAAGATTGCAATCTCTGATTGGTTCGTTGGCAAGCATAGAGCTGACCCATATATTTATAGTAGGTGTAGAATGTTGAAGAGGCATTTGCTGCCATTGTTGTAATTTATGGAAATTAAATACAGATGATTGTTATTATTATTACTATTATTATTAGGTATAATATACAGGTTTTAGGTGTTCCTTTATAGCACAGTATAGTTAGTTGATTAGTTAGAAAAGGACATGAGTTCACTGAAGTCAGCATTTTATCTTCTAATACCCAGCCAAGCCAGAGCAGCACAAGAATCCATATAAAAAGTCTGATTTGTCATAAAACACTTTTTAAACTTTTAACATTTGTTCAAATATTTCCTCTGAATTTTTCTTTAATCGTTTATATTGACGTGCCTTTCTATAAAAAAAATTAATGATTTCTTAATTTGCTTTTTAAAATTGTGGTACATTGAAATCAACCTGAACGGGTGGATTTTTACAGTTTAACCCAGTGCACCACCACAGCAGGAAACTTGGACTTTTTTTTTATATTAAGTCCTGCTCACATGACCATGTATGAAAGAAAACTGCAAGTATACTAGATGGGTCCGGGAAGGCTTTCCATGAGGTTCTGCAGTGCTTCTGTTGGAATTTTTGCCCATGCAGCCAAAAGTGCATTGTAAGGTCAGATACTGATGTTGGACGAGAAGCCTTGGATCTCATATGGTGTTTCATTACTCCCCTGAGGAATGTTTGCACTCATTTCCTATCCTATAAGTGTCACCAAGATGGGAAATTGCTCCAATTGCAATAAAAGCAAAATAAAACAAATCTTACTCTTAGCAGTCTGGAGAAAGGGCTTTAACCGTCATGTATTCATTAGAAAGAATGTATCATCCCTCCTGTCCTAGGGAGGGGTGTCGCCAGTAGAGGAATGCAGGCAAAATCTTTCCATTTTGGGGCACCGTTAACAATGGAAACCTTGAAATAATATAAAATAAAGATTATTAAAACACTGCAAAAGCCAATTGCTAGTTATTGTTTGAGTAATCTGGTGATTATGACTGAAAGCTTGACAGTTTTGATGTTCAGACTAGTACAAAAACTCCTGTTCATGCTCATAAAATCTTCATATGTTCAAACTTTAAAATAAAAAAAAAGGCATAGAGCTACTGTTTATAAACACTAACAATCTGTATAACCCATACAGCCATAGTTTTCTCTTCTACAGCTTTTGCTGCATTTTTGATGCTTGTCAATAACCAGAGCCTCAAAGTGTGAAATTTTTATGCAACTGTATTATCCATTCCTGCTTAGGTCCACCAGAAAAGATCCCATCACCAACAAAACCTCTTCCTACAGTGCCACCACATAGGCCTAACCCACCAGCAGACCCACGCAAGAATGACAAACAACCAAGACCTCCAAGGCCTCCTACCGGAGGAGACAGGCCATCTTATCCAGGAGTCAAGCCTAACATCTGTGATGGGAATTTCAATACCCTGGCTATCTTGCGACATGAGATGTTTGTATTTAAGGTAAGATTGGCATATGTCACACTGTGACTTCGTTTGGCCACTGCATAAAAACTGAAAGTGACCCATGCCATCCCTCTTGCTATGTCATCCAACAGTTCTTGTGCATAGAAACTGTTGTAAGCTCTTTATTGCTCTTTCTCATATCCAGACTCTCTAGCAGTTGCTAGATAGCAGTTGTGAATTCTAAAAAACCATTTGACCTAATTTCACTTTAACTTCCTTTTATCCTTTTTTTCCCCAATGGACTGAAATGATTTTCTCACTAATAGGAAAACAATAGTACATGTACTGTAATTGGAATAGCAAGAGGTTTGGTATTAGACAGGTTAAATAGGGATTTACTTGCACAGTTTGGACGTTAGAATTGATATGGTAAGCTGCCTATAAATCACAGTATGACCCTCAGAAGCAGGGCCTGATTACCCACAAGGCGACATGAGCACATGCCTAGGGCCCCGACGGGTGTCCAGGAGCTCAGTATTCTTTTCCTAGGAGCCTGTGAATTGTTGGTCCCGCCCTCGGGGCCAACACTGCTGATCTAGCATCACTCTCGATAGCAGGAGAAGATCGAAGGCCAAAGGCGGAGGAAGCTAGCATGTTCCCTTCTCTCTCCAATTATTTTCAGTTATTGTGAAGCATTTGCAAATACATGTTACTGTTGGTTTAGACAGGTTGTATCTGCCTTCTCCTTCCACATCCATAAAACACAGAAGGGCTCTGCTAGTTGTTAAGAGGTCAGAGTGCAAATACCCTCTTATCTGCAAACTTCTCATCGACTTGTCATCAGGGGTTCCTTGAAGAACATAGCTAACAGCCATAAAAGGTCCCATAGTCTCTGGTCTCTGTTGTCAACTATTGACATTCAGGCACTGAAGGTAGGGTCACAGCAAGTACACCGACATAGAAATGCTGAGGAGAAGATCCTGCGGAAATCAGTGCCTTCCTAAATACAGAAAAATAGCAGTAATCAGAATAAAGATCTGTAACTGAACATCGGGCACAGTAGAGATAAGGAGAGATAAGGAGTCTTTCTAGATACAGGTCATTAAACTCATTTTGTCAGTTTGTCTTCCAGCTCCCTATCATCATTAGCCCTAAGTAGGCTTTGTTCAGCAGGACATTTGCAAAAGGAGCTGGTCTGAAACTTTTCGGATGAACAGCGCATGCATCTGATCAGATGCAATAGCTGGCAGCAGTGCATAGGGAAATCAATGGATTTTTAGCGCGTATGTCCAGTTTTACTGCTGTCACCATAATATGGTAAAGCTCCTGGGCTCTATCTAGACTGTGCTATTCCTATATTCCTTGTCTTGAGGCCAGATAAGAAATTAGATATTACAGGGTTAAACTATTAACCCTTTGAGTACAGAGTCCCATGTTTGGACTTGGCTTATACTGTACAGCTACAACTACCAGCTATTTTGTTTTTCATGAAGAAATCCTAAATACTGGTAATAAGATACCCAGGCTGGAAGAGCTTAAAATCTATTAGGATATAGTTTAAACTGCCTAGGGCCCAGCTTGGTCTTAATCCATCCCCTCAAGAGATTTCGGATTTGTTTAGCTGTGAGGGGCTTCTTCACTTGTTAAAGGCAGTGATGTGTTGAGATGTCAGGTTGTGTTCGTGGACCGTGTTCTCAGAGAATTTGGATATACTCTGAGCCAGGTGAAGTGTTGACCTATATATCATATGGACTAGTTGATAATTTGCATGTCCCATGTGCTTTACTACCAAAGCCAAAAAAACGGAAAAGGAAGCGCTACTACCCTATAAAGAAAGTGTGGTCACAATAATGAATACAATGTAATGGCTAACTCTCAGATGTAAACATCAAGGAAAAATTGAAGTATAGCCTGCTCGAATCAATGAGAGAGCGGCGGAGGATGCCACTGCAGCACTGTCACTGCAGCCGCGGCTCACTGGGTCTATCTGTCAATGTGAAGCTCTGTGGGATGACAGTGTGACGTCAGTGAGGGGCTGGGAGGCTATTGTCCAATGGTTGGCTGACTACCAAAGCCAAGAGACACCCAATTTGCTGGAGGTTAGCCAATAAAATTACACAGCCGGTAAAGTTTCTTTGGGTTTGGATGTCTTTGGCCTAGGATTTCTGAATATCTATCTATCTATCTATCTAATTGGATACAGTATATTGTTACTCTTTCTTGGTTTTTATATATGTCAATTGAAAAATTGTCAGTTACTGTGCTATAAACGAAATCAATGACTCCTTCACATAACAAAGTACAGGCAGTCCCCGGGGTGCGAACAAGATAGGGACTGTAGGTTTGTTCTTAAGTTGAATTTGTATGTAAGTTGGAACAGGTAAATTTTTTAAGTGTAACTCCAGCCACAAAATGTTTTTTGTTTGTTTTGGATAGCATAAGGAAGGGTTAAACTCCTGTAAAGTTTGTTTTGCTCTGTGTGCCCCTATTTGGAAGATTTGCTCTCACTTTCTGTCCCTGTGACAATTCTAATTTTGAACATTTTGGCTTGTCGTGGAAACAAGGATTGGTGATAAAGCTTCAGTGGAGACACCTTTTTCCTATGATAACTCTTACAGGACTGAATTTCCCTTCCTAGGGGTAGATTTCCTCTCCCTTTCTGTTGTCTCAAGGACAGGAAGTTAGATTAAATCTTTCTAATCAGGATACAGAAGAGGCAGGCACCCCTCGTCTACACGTCTAACAAGAGCCAACTTCCTGTAATGTACGTACAGTCCTACAAACCAGACCCAAAAAGGCGGGCACTCCTCATCAGCACGAGCGCGGTAGCATTACAACTACCCCTGCTGTACAGTAATCGCCTCCGTTTGTAAGTAGGAGTCGTATGTAAGTAGGATGTATGTAACTCGAGGACTGCCTGTATAAACTAATTTAAAATGCCAGCTATCACTAAGTCTGAACTAAATATTACACCTGGAGTTTGGTTAAGGATGCACGGCATTTCTTCTGGAAAATGGAGCAAATTAAACAAAGTATATTTCTCCCTCTTGTTGTAGAGAAATGAAATGTCTTTCCTTGAAGGGTAAATAGTCTTGTGAGTATTTCACTGGAGAAATCGTTTTAAAATTTGATGTTCTCAGCAATGAGCTTCTTCCCTTTTGGCATATTTTGCAAGAGTCTAACTGAGTTACCAGATTCATGAGGCACATCCCCTAAGGAAGTAAATTAAGGCTAGCAAACATTCACAGCACTGCAATGAAAATGCATAGAATATGCTACAAAGAGCAGTATGGAACATCAACTTACACTAGCAAGAGTCCTAGTAACAGGAAAAAATACTATGAATTGAAAAAAAGAGCTATAATAATAAAGGTACACCCTGGCAAGACATGAAAAGTTGCTATAGTTGCTGATATACATAACTTAATGACTGGGGATGAAATTACCATCTGCACCTTTTAGAGTATCTTGAATTTCTGATCTAGGGAGAGTTATGAAATTTAGAAGGAAGGAAGAGAAATGTTGAGCTTATTTTTGAACATCTCCAAAAAACATTGATTTTAAATGCAACCACTGTAAATATCCAAGTTTAAATAGATTCTTGTAATCTTGCCTGTTGAAATTCCCTTTACAATACCAATCAGACTGAGAGGTATGGATGAATATGCTGGCAGGAGGAATGTGCAGAAAGATGAGGCCAACTGTTTTATTAAGATATTAAAATCAAGCACTGGGATGGATTGTGCAAAGAGCCGTTAGTGTTCTGTGCTAACACTCATAGCGTGCATTACCACAATTTGTGTAGTGCACATATGTATGTTATGTGTGTGTGGGGGTGGGGGTTATTTTTTATTTTTTTTATCAGTACTGCTATCAGGGGATGACCCCTGATGTTTCAAATTTTTCACTACTGAGCACTGCTGTAATAATTCTTGTTTATCAATCCCTTCAGTTATGAGTAAACATGAGAGTGCTCAGTACTGAGTACTCCTGTGTTCATTTAGGAAATTGACATGTTTAGCGATCTTTCCGCTCACTATTGTGGAGAGATGAAATCCTCCCTACTGTAAATCCTCCCTACAATATAATCTCCTCTACAGCCTGCTGTCTCCCATGAAAAGGCTGAGGTAGAGCAGTGGGGATTGGAGTGCACAAAGTAGGGCACACAGAGACAGCAGGTTGTGCAAGGTACACAGCAGGGAGGGTCTAATGGCAATCATGGGCACACTGCAGGGTGGAGGGAATTTTTCTAGGAATGCCTGTGTTCGACTGCTTGCCATTCGTTAACCACAGCTATTCCCGAATTCATGAAAACTGGGGTTCCCTTCTGCTATAAGTTCATGGTCGCTGAAGCAACCATTAGCTTGTAGCCTAAGGGAACACAGAGTAAATAAAGGATACTGAGACGGCCAGCTGCAAGCAGTTCTATTTCAGCATACCCCTAACGCCATGGTGGTAAAAGGGTTAACAGATGTAAAAAGCCATTTGATGTAACATTGACTGATTTAAGTGTATGCATCCTGAGGGATGGTCAAGAGCCTGTATGATATAATGTAGAAGTATATTTAGGGTTACTGGGTTTTTTGGGAAAATAGATAATAAGGTTGGCAATAAAGGGTTTTAGCCTTGTTATATTTCATTTCTTTTCTTTCGAAACAGATGAAAAACCATCCATCAACCTGTAAGAGGATGCAGTCAACGTTTTAATGTGCCCTATAATATTTCATAACAGGGCAGAATCTTAAATAATCTTAATTCATTGCTGCATGCAGGCATGGCAATTTTTTCCCGTGCTATTGGGATAAAACACACTGCATTTTACAAATCAATATTCAATTACTTATGCCTGCAATATTTTAGATTAATTAAGAATATTGATGCCTTGCTCTGGGTCTCTGCATTAAAATTTCACTACTGAATTTGCAGCGTAGTAAAGCTTCAGTTAGAATGCCATTTCATTTTCATAGTGGCTTTTTATACTCCTAGCTACCAAATGTGTCCCATTTTATAAATAATAAAATGCAGGCATATTTACATTTGCACTTGTGGTTTAAAAT